TACTGTAACTGTGTTATAAATCTTGTATTGCAAGTCTAAAATTATAATAATAAAATAAAGTGTAATAGCCTTTTGCTTCTTCAAAAAAAAAAAAAAAAAAAAAAAAAAGCTTATATCAATATAACAAAACAAATATCTTATTGCTAAAATTTCAAACTGATATCAACTTATAATAAATTTAAAATATAATTATAATTTATTATATTAAACCTATAGTAAATTTAATATCAAAATAGTATTGTTAAAATTTTTACTTATTATCTTGTTTTTTTTATTATATTTATTTTTATATAAAATGGAGCATATAAAAATTATATATTTTGTTTATATTTCTTGCTATATATAAATCAATTAGTTCAAATTTCAAGCTAATTATTATTTAAAAATTCTAATATAATTCAAAATTAAGCTAAAATAGGCAAAAGTTTCTAAAAAATTCAAAAAAAAGTTTATATATGAAAAAGAATTTCAAAATTTCAAAATTTATCTTTTTTAAAGTTTTGAATTTTTTAAAAAAAAATTAATATTTTTTTTAATAAATATTTTTGACTTTGATTTTATAAATAAGTTTTTCTGAAGGTTTATTTCAAAGAGAAAAAAAAATACAAGAAAACTAGAGTTTTTGGATAATAATATTATTAAGAAAAGTATATAAACTTTATTATAAAGAAATATAAGGTTTCTTTGAAACATCTGTTTTTGAATTGGTAAAAAGATCAGCAGAAATAGTTTTTATGTTTTTATAAGTTCAAATATAATATATTTATATTTATATAAGTTATTATTATTATTATTATTTATATTAATATCAAATTTATGTTTTTATTATTTAAAGGATTTTTTTTTTTAAAGCTTTTGATAAAAAGAACAAAAAATTTTTAAAAATCTAAAAACTATTTATTTATTTATATATTATTTATTCAACAACATTGAAATTTACTTAAAAGCATTATTGTTATAGTTATTTTTAACCTATAAGATTTATTTTAAAAAATAAAAGTTTTTTTTAATATTAGAAAATTTGTATAATATCTATTAATTTTATTAATTTAATAATAGGTAATTCTAAATGCTTGAATTAGTTTAATAATAATGTTACTAGTACATATTATCCTTCTTTTATAATATATCCATGCAGTGTAAAAGCACATTCATCTAAAATTGATCGTTCACAAACAAGGTACTAGTCTTTGCATTTTCAATATGTCCATATCCTTTAGCGTCATATTTCTCAATCCATTCACTTTCCATTCTAAAAAATATCCACAACCAACGACGTGTAACTTCCAAAACCTCCATTAAAAACACACCACCTTCCAATTGATGAATTATATGCAAGTGAGATGATAATTTTACAGACCACGTGAATCTTAAAATAAAATCTATGAATATTGCAAGATAGTATATAGCTGGCTCCTTAAAGCGTAATACAGGTCGGAGTTTTAATCCAGGCTTAAAAAAGTCAAGTTTCCAATCTTTTGCAACGTCCCAATAAAATGAGTAGAAAGAATTGAATGCAACAGATATAATCCTATAAAATAATCAATTAATCAATTAACTGTAATTTATCAAGTAACAATAGATAATACAATTACATTACCATAATTTAGACAATAATGGTGGTGCAACCAATACAAAAGATGATTCTGTAGCGACTTCATACCTATACCATTTTTGTAAGGCTGAAAAAAATATCACGGGAAATGCTGAAGCGTATTTGAGCGCATTGAATAACTGTGTGCGACTTGTAGTTTTAGGCGACAAATAAATTGCCATGCATTGTCTAAATCGAATAACATAAGGAATGCTTCATTCGATAGAATATGTTATAAAAAAATTTACATCAGTTAAAATCATTTGTAAATCCAAAGAATTTATTTCAGCATTTACCTTGTAAATAACGGTGCTATTATATAACTGTAACCTTTATTTTCAGAAAAACCTCCTTGATCAACATCATAAAATAATAAAATACATCCAGCAACATATAAATCGCCTAATACTTTAGCATAACTAGTCATAATGTCAGCAAGTATTACATCAGAAAAATGAACTTCTTGCTTTAAGCCCGAAAATATTACTCGACTTAGACATCTATTTGATAAAAAAGTTAATATTTAAATATTAGATCCAAGTATCCAATGTTGATTCCTACTAACTTACCTCAGAAATCGATGTCGTTCTTTCTGACAAAGAATGTTAAATGGACAAAACAAAATTGAAAAGACAATTAAATAACAAAATAAAGGTATAGTGGTCCATTCGGCAACCTTGACCTGATCTCCACCAGTTACTTCCCAGAAGATTAATAAATTAGAGGAAATCAAAGTAGTTATTATTATTGCTAATGTATATATGGATCTGTATATAGGAGTATTTCTTTTATCCTGAAAAGAAAGGATAAGATTTACATCTAGTGACTGTGCTGAAAGTATTTGCAAATTTAAACCCCATGCCCAAAGTCCAACAACCGAAACTATAAGTACGCGGTATGGTAAAGGCAAGATGTTCGAAAAACCCCACTCCATCGTGGACACGATATTTTCTTATTTGTCATATTTAATCGAAGATCTTATAAAGACGTGTCTTAAAAATGAAATCCATGTAACACGGCAGGAAAAATATGCTAATAACCGATTGGTCTACTCGGCCAAGCCGACTAAGCTGTAATATCTTTATATAGAAGAATCGAAGCATGATTAACACGTTAAAATAAAAACAAATAGTCGTCATTTTTGTTTAAATCAAAAACTAATTGTACATGTGATAAAAAAGTAATTACTTAATAAATTTAATTATATAATGGAATCTTAATCAAAAGATAAAGAAGACTTATAGAATATATTATTAAATATTATAATCTATTTAAAGATAAAATATACAGTCTAACCTCGTTATAACGGACCCGTTAAATCCCTCGCTATAGCGGAGCAATATTCTGGAACAAATTTAATTTTTTATTATGACGTTATAGCGGATATTCACAATAACCCAACAGATCCGTTATAGCGAGTTATACTTTATTAAATTCAATATATTAGTCACAGGACATTTCTCTTAACCAAGACTAAAATGCCATTTTTATAATACAATTTATATTGTGTGTAACGACAGTGTCCCATGAATGTTATATACAAATTTTTTTGCTTAATTCTTTTATTAATCCAAAAAACATATACATATTTTAAAAAAATTTTTATGTTGTTTTTTGTTTTTTTTGGAGGGGAGGGTTATCTCAATAGGTAAACATTATTCCTTTATTTGATTTGTATATAACAAGGTATATATCGTAAAAGAAACAACATCTCTTGGGTACATTGCATACAACAAGTTACATGTTAGCTTGCTTACTTGTATCATATTTAACTAATATCATAAAAAATTTCAAAAGCAATATTAAAGTGTCAAATATGGAAGTAGCAGCTATACCTATCTACTCGAAAAATTGTTTGGTAAAATCTTTTTTTTGAATAAAGAAATTGAGAAGAAAAAATTAAAAGTAACTAAAACTAAAACTTCATCAAATAGACTATAAGATCTATAAGTAGAAAACTAATTATTTTCTCGAAAAACTTTTAGACAGGCTCATTGTCCTATCTCTCCAGCTCTTTGATTACCATAGATAGTAGAATATATATGATGTTGTTTGTTGTTGAAGTTGTTGTTGTAACACAAAACCAGTTTGAACTGGCATGGTTTTTGTTTTGATTTTTATGTGAAATCTAATTGAATGATTGGAGAATGCTGATCATCTAAAAGGGTAAACTGATTTCAGTTTTTTGTTTGAAAAATTTTTGGACTTTTAAGGTGGCATAGCAAATATTATTGCAAGAATATTGTATATATAAATTGACTTAAATCAAACAATAGACTCACTAACTCTATTTGAAAATATGTTTTGGAAAGTATTTGATTTAGCGAGTATGATAGTAATAGTATAGATGGTTTTTATGATATAATAAGAGTAAAGAAGGATACAAGAGAACTGAAGAAAAGAAAATTGTCACAAGTCTTTTTTTATGCAACCAAAAAATAAGCAAGACTTCCAAACTTGAATAGATTTTGACTAAAGGTCCCATCCCACTGCACCAGTTGTCTTGAAGGTTCTTGAGTTCTTGAGCTGAAGCTCACTTGCAATAAAGAGTGTAAAACATTTTTTCTTACTTAAAATTACTATAAAAGGAAAATTTTTAACAAAACAGATACAATTAGGAGAGAGTTTTTATTCATTTTATATTTTTTTATAATAAAGCCTACTTATTTTTTTTAATAATATTATTATTTACATTTATTTTTTTTATAATAACTTTTGTTAAGAAGAAATATTTTTTATTTTTTATAACAAATAAAATCAGAAATTCAAACAATTACAAACGTAAATTATCAAAACTTAAAAAAATTACATAAATAGTAACTATATATATAATAGAATTATTGTACAATAATAAAATTATAGATTTTTTAAATTTTGATACATATAAAACTTCTTTAAAATAAAATATTTTTTATTAAAAATTTGGATATAATACAAATTAAAGACTAGAAAAAAAATCTTTTTAAACTTGAAAAAAAATTTTTTTAGAAAATTTTTGAGTTGTTTATTTTTTTTATTTTTATTTTTATTTTTATCTTTATTTTTTATATTATATTATTTTTATTTTTTATTTTTTTTAGTACTCTTTTATATTTTATATTTTTTGTTTTTTGTTTTTTTTTTGCCAAAGCTAGATTTTTTTTTCTAAATTTCTTTTTTTTTTAAAAACTTCATTCTTTATGATATTATTCCTCTAATCAATTAATTTACTTTTCTTAGGAACTATATTAAGAAATAATAAATTTTTTTAAAATGTAATCTTCAAAAAACTTTCTTTTTTATGATTTTTTATAAAAAAAACAAATAATTATTCCTATAAAAAATAAATATAATTATTATTATAAATCCAATCTTATTTACTGATTAATAATTAAACTAGATGCATTCAAAAAATCTTTATATAACTATTATTATTTAAAAGTACTTAAGAAGTTATATTCTACAGTATTCAAAAATCAATATTTATTTTGCTTGCTATATATCAAGTTATATTTGAAAAGCAAATATATAATTCTAATTATAACTTAACTTTAATATCTTTATATGATTAAATAATTAAGATTTTCTAAATAATTATATACTACTTAAAATATAATATAGATTTTGAACTTTATTTTTCTATATTCTTGAATAATATCAAAAAGCTTAAATAGGTGAACTATAATTGTAAACCTTATATTAAATTTTTTTTAGCAAAAAAAGATATATACTATATTAAAATTTATAAATCTTATAATTGTAAGTCTAAAATTTTAATAAAAATAATATATGAAAATTACTTATTTCTTTAAAAAATAATAAAACAAATTATTTTTTTTTTGTTTCTAATCAAATTACAATTCCATATATTTATTAATCTTTAAAAATAATAATATATTGAATTTTAAGACATAACATTTTTCTTAAAAATTTTTTTTTATAGTAACTTTTTAAAAATTAAAGAAAAAAATATTCTTTTCACTTCCCAATACCTACTAGTCCTCTATATCTTTCTAGTCTTTATTACAAAAGCCTTAAAAAAACCAAGGAAATATACTGGTGCATCAAAATGGGACCTCTAGTCAGGAAGAAGCAAGTTTGAGGATCTTGCTTTCTTTTTGAATTGCATGAGGAAAGGCTCGTGACAGTTATTTTTTATAAATTTTCCTTGGAGCTTTTCCCATTTTCACTTCTTATTAAAACACCTCTTATCAATATACAAATACTTTTAAATATTTTTTTTCTTCTGTTAAAGAGTCTTTTTTTAATACAAACTTAAAACT